CGAGGGGAGCCCTGCCCCTGCCTGGGGTCCCCCTCGCCTCCTCCCGCGCCCATTAGGCCCTGTGGAGGCAGCTTTTCCCCTCACTTGGCAGAACCAGGTTTGGCATGTGAGGGCTGGCTGCTGCTTCCCCTCGGACATGTGAGAGCAGCTCCACCCCAGTAGCATCCACAGCTGTCAAACCGCCCGTCATATCAGCTGGCCTGGTATTACTTTGATTATCTGCGGGGCTTTATAAACTGTGCGGCAGCTGACAAAATTCTTACATTCTTTCTTTCTTTTTCTACAAAGTTTAAACGGCACGTGGGTGAGCAGGAGGAGGATGCTGACCTCTGGATCGGATACTCAGCCTTTCATTTGGGTGACTACAAGAGAGCACTGGAGGTAAGGTGGGGAAATCCTGCTCCCTGAGGCTGGAAATCGGGATGTTGTGTTAAACCGATGACAACAGGAGGAAGATGTTCTGTAACGGAGAATAGTTCTACCAGCTGGTTAAGGTGCAAATGCAGATGCTGTAGAGAGCAGTTTGGGGAGAAAAAAAAAAAAAAGTGTTTGCCTATAAAATAGACCTTTTTTAATGTTACCTGCTGTCTGATTTTACACTAGGCACAGCAGCCTAATTTGCATTTTTAAATGTCACAGTTTATGTCCTAAATTTTACACTCTCTTTTTGCAGCTAGCAATCCACAGTTTTGTTATTTCAGGTTTAATTCTGTCTTTGTCTTCATTGTGTAGTTTACCTGTAATATGCATGCTTTTTTAATTCTTTCTTTAGACATTGATGCCCCTGGGCATTTAATGTACTTTATTGTTCTTCTTTACGTTTCTTGTATTAGGTAGTTCAATGAAATGAGACATTCTTATTTTCTAAAATCTTTAAGTCACTAAAAGATATGTTGATTATTCAAATATGCATATCTTAATATTTGCACCATATAGTGCTGTTGTGTCTCTTTCAATGTATGAGTCCGTATGCAATTTTTTCTCTTGTGTCCATTTATGTCTCTGATGAAACTCAATTTGTTGCCTGTGTCCCTGGGATGACTTTATCTTCTCAGTTGTGCTAGTGTGTTTCTCTGTAGAAGTTTTAACACATTTTTGTTGTGTGCCTTGCGGGTTGTACCTCTCCAGATTGGAAACAGTGCACACCAGAACAGAGAGTGTTGTGGAGTGGTATGGTGATACCCAAAAGGCTGTGTATAAGCTAGTGAAGATTTGAAAACAACTCAGTCTGCCTGGGTATTGTTTGTCTCATTGCTGTGTTCCTACAGATGTGAATTGCTGGGTGTATTGCACCATTTAAGGTTTATTGGTTTCGGTCCATGTTGGCTGGGGGAGAAATCCATCACGATTCCCTGTGAAGCATAACTGTGAAGTATAGCTGGTTTTGCAGTCTTTCAACATGCTTTCCCTGGAAGAATATTAAAAACAGATGATAATTTAATGTATCAACACAAGAAAATAACCATAGAGAAATAGATTCTAGAACAATGATATTTTCTTACTTAGGTAAAATTAGGTGTTTAACTATAGTACTACATGGTCACGTGCACGAGATTCATAAATGAGGCAGAAATAAAATTTCTAAAGTTTCTGAGTAAGTTCACAAGGCATTTTCCCCCTTAAAAAATGAAGAGGAAACATCCTTTGGAGATGTTAGAAATGCTTAATGAATCAAATTGACATTATACACACTACAGAATGTAGAATAGCAGTACAGGACATAGTAGGTACCTTAGGATTCATGTTTAGAGTTGTGGAATTTAAAGATTATTAATTTAACAATCAGTTGGTGTAGTTAATTTGTATCTACATGTTGGGTGTTAATAGGGAGTGAAAGCTTTAAAAAAATAAACATTTTTGTATAGAAATTGAAAATAGCTTGAAATTTCTTTGAAATAAATTCTGCTATTTGGAATACCCAGTAGATGCTTTTATAACCAGAGTACATTTTAAATGTGTCTTTCAACGAAAGAGTAACAGTATTTATTTTTTTTAATTGAGAGATTAGGTTTTGTATGTGGTGTTGGATTTACCACTAGGTGATGCTGTTGATGCAGGCTTTTAAGAACTGCAATTCAACGTAGTCGTCTCCCGTTTTTCTGCCCAAGTAGGGACAATAAAAGGTTTGTATGCATGGTTTATGGTTGGTTGGCTGGTTTGTGTGTTTTAAGTGAGAGATCACAGGGCTTATCTTTGCAGATCTAAGGCTCATTTTTGGCAGAGTGATGAGTCCGGATAAGTTTATAATTTTGTGGTGGCATGTGGGAAATGAGCCTGTGCATCTCAGCCTAATTTATTTTGGGACAGAACACCGCAGTTGTAATTCTCAAGCCTGTAGTAATCAAGGGAAATGACTGTGGAGGCTGAATTGCCTTTCAGTTATCAGCTTCAAGGTTGAAGTGTAATGCTGTATCTTCTCTGCTATGTTACAGAGGCATTGTTGCTGTATTCTCAAGGACGAACTCCTTGATTATCTATACCCTCTGGATCTTGGAGCACTCTTTGGGGAGTGCCAAGAGCACTGTAAATAAAGCACTATGGGTAGAAGATTCTGCAGAATTCTCCAGAGTGACGTTACCTACAATCTAAATAATTTTGCACTCCTAAGTGCCTGCAAGTGACAATGCGTAGTCTGTATCACTATGTTCCCAGTTCATGCTTTATATTCCATATACCTTATGAGGGCCTTCAGAAATTATGCTGCTCAATAATCCTTTTATTTATAGTGATACCTTCATAGTGAGCCAGGCAAGCTGGTTGCATGGCAGCTTTTGGGGAGGCTTGGGAATTGGGGTGGGGTAGCCATCATCCACTGTTGGGAGAACACACAGACCTCCAGGTCCAAGAATATTTTCAGAGAGAATGACAGCAAAATATCTGGTGCATTCACATGAGAGAATTCACATTCTCTTAGCATAGGCATACCAACAGTCAGATGTTTTCCAGGTAGAGCGCTAACCCCAGCTTCACTAGGGTCACGCTTTCACCTTCTTAGTAGGTAGATGCCTTTCTTGAAGGATATGCCAGTGACACTGGTCTGCTGGGATCATCCCCACTGCTGTATACCAGTTTACAAATGGTAGTGCACTGAACTCAAGTCTTCTAGCAGTCATGGTGGCAGCCCCTCCCTGGGGACTGTCTGGCTTCCTTCACTAACAAGTTGATTTTTACTGACACTGGGTGGCTAGTGTCTTCCTGACATCATACAGCAACCAGAACTCCTCTAGTGGATGGCAGCATATGATTAATTTTCTTGAGTCTTCCACACCTGTTATCCCTAATGGGGAAAAACTTGCTCATGGCATTGATCTTAAACCTTTCCTGAAAAATTTCCCACTGTCACCCAAGGACAAGAATCAGAACATCAGTCCAATGATTCTGTTTCTGTGGCCTTATAAATTGAAGACCAAGAAAGGGAAGGTTATGAGACATATTTGAGGTATTGACAGTTTAAGAGACGAATTGGCGAGGGCAGGTGCACTGCTAGGCTGGATTCAGGAACAGATTTCACATTTGCACTCTGTACCATCCGACAGGGCTTAGGCACACAGGATGCTGGCATGGTACAGCTGCCAGACATGGTAGTGCAATTTTGTCCCATCAGCTGCATGCATGAGAGCAAAGCACAATCCCCAGGCCAGAGCCTTCGATGCATTGTTTCTGTCAAAATCTCACAAGCTACAGCAAGCGATTCCAACAGTCTCTCCTATCTGCCACCTCCGTCCCAGCAGAGAATCAGGAGCTATTCCACCTCTTCACTGGGCAGGACCTTCTGCCTCCCCTGACTTTGCTCAGGATAGTTTCAGTCAAATAGAAAATCACGAAAGGAAGAAGGCTATACTAGGGTAATGGTTCATCCACGAGCAGTATCTGGTCTTGCTTGAGTACTTCTGCTGGAAGTATGAGAATAAAAGTACACTCAAGTTCCTGGTAAAAGATGGATTTTTGGCTCAGGGAAGTTCTCTAGGCTTCTCCTTTGAGCACTTGTGGGGCAGCCCTATAGGTTGGCCTGTTTATTGGCTCTTCAGGATCTCTGTTTGTGGGCTTGGAGAATCCAGACAAGCAATAAAGGCACAGAGCAGAATCCTGCTAGCCTCAGCATTGTTAGTAGGTGTCCGTAGTTGTATGAAATCAGCAGTTGGCAGCCTACTTTTGAAGAAAAGTGCGCGTCTTGTGCTTAGGGTGAGAGATGGAGGAGGGTGAAATAGCAAGAAGTTTGTTATGCTCCTGGTTGATAAAAATATGCCACAGGCTGACTGTTGGGAAAGCTTTTGGAGTAGTTTGTTTGGTTTTGTTGGTTTTTTGGAGAGGACAGGGGAAAGCTCTTATGAAGGAGTCTTTGAGAGACTGATGTTGAATATGTTTTAGTCGCCCAGAAGTGCAGGGTAAGCAGCACGAATAGTCCTCATTTTTATTTACTGTGTTTCCATAGATTCACATTGGTATTGCTAGAGCACTCTTTATTTATTGCTTGCTTTGAATGGCCAAGCCAGAACATGACTTGTGTTTATGCACTCTGTCTTTTCTAATTAATCTGCCTGAAGCCATAGCCGAAAGAGACCTTTGGGTGCATTTAATCTGAATGGATTTTGAAAGATTCCAGATGGTCCCAATAAACAGGAATGGCCTGTCTCTCAGACCTCCATGACAGGCCTATGTCGCAGTTGAGCTGGCCTCAGC